AAACAACATGAAATTTTTTTCACTTGAATAAGCAAAGAATACACACAAACCACCCATCCAACAGCAATGATTAAGCAAAGCGTAAGGCTGACGGGGTGAAGAGCAGCGTTCTGAAAACGTGGAAGATGGGCGGCGTTGGGGCGCTGAGGCCGGTCTCGCGATGTAGCCGCCGCCTAGAGACGTAACGCCATACCCTTTCTCGGAAAACAACCAAAAGCAAACTCAGACATGTGCCTCACAATGTTTTGGTCAAGCACAGACAGCACAGACGACAGTGCCCCGTGAGTTCGATCACCTGCGTCACTGCAGCCCGTCTCAGTGATGAGGGTAGACGCTCATGTGAAACAGTGATGAAATCGGCTAATGATGCCTTTCTCAAAATGAGACTCCATCACTAAGGAGCACGTGACTGTACTTCAATACCTAAGTATTTCACTTATTTAATAAAATATGAAAGATAACCTGAATAGTATGATTAAAAATAAGAATAATTTAAATATCCAAAATAAGGGCAAATGACATTTGGTAAAATTATATAACAATAATTTGGATCTATTAATATGATTCAAAGAATTTTTAGTGACATTAGAAAATGCCTAGATTATGTTGCCAAAGTTTAAAAAATAATAAGATGACACTATTAAACTTGTTATTTTATCTTCGGCAACAACCAGAGACAGGTACTGTAATTATTCCTATTTTACAGATAGAGAACAAGGTACTAAAGAGATTAAGTGATTTTCCCAAGGACCACAACTAATAAGTAACTGACTCAAACTTGAACACTGCCTCCACCTTCCTGTTCTTGACTATTAGTTTGTGACAGAATAGAACAGACGGGATAGAAAAAGAAAACGGAGACCTGTAGGAAAAATACCAAACATTAACAGAGGTTGAAGAGTTAGTGGTTGTTTTCTTCTTTGTTTCTATATTCTCCACATTTTTCTACCGCATGTATATGCTTTTATAAATAACAAAAATAATTAAAATTTTCAAATAAACTAAATAAACACGAATTGACCAATAGATGGGGAAGTTCTACACACCACCTTTCTCCAAGAAATTATTATTATTTAGAAGGAAAAGACAAAAGCAAGAAGGACAAAAAAAATATAGGAAGTACAGTGTATTCGGGCTAAGGTGGATGGAGTTCTAGACACAAGATGCAGTATATCAATAACCAATGCAAAATAAAACAAGTTGAACATGTGTGAAGAGAGGGCTTATTTAACTTCCAGTGAGAACAAAGTAAGAACAGCCAGCAATTTGACAATTTCCAAAACAGAAAGTACCCTTTTCTCCTAACACTGTATGACAGCACATAGAGAAAAATCAGTCTATTGCTGTATGCGTTTTTTTCATGTTTTAAATCTCAGGAAAAAAAAGAAAAATCCAACAGCAAATCTTACAGCAGTTACTTTTCTGGATTATTGGAAACCAAAACTTAAAGCCTTATGGTTCTCTGAGCCTCATGAGAAGTTTGAATGCCAGCCACAATCCTATGTGTAGAATATTCTTTAGCCTTTTGGGGTAACAGACAAGCTGCTAAAATCATGGGGGAAATAATGGTTAGTGGATTCAGTAACATGGTTTTAACATGAACTACTTAATCTAAAGATGAATCACACAGATAAAATACAAGATGCCTGTCTTCTTTACATAAATTTGAATATCAAGAATGGAAAATGAAAGAAAGCAAAAAAGCTGCTTACCTTTTTACTACTTTTCAGTTCACACAAAGCCAACCCTGTAAATTTTAATTTTCTTTCTAATAGACTTTCAACCATCATTACATTTTAACTATTTTCTGGTTTAAAAGCAATGTATGTTCACTGCAGAAAATCTGACAAATATGGGAAATATAAAAAAAACAGCTACTATCCAGCAGAAAGAGTTAACCATTATTCATTTAGTGCATTTCAGCCTTTTTAATTTCTGTTACTGTTACCTTTACACAGCTGGGATCACACTTCTTCAGTCACTTTAAAAACGTTTCATATTGTTTTCTCAGGTTTTCTTTTAAAACATAGTTTTTAATGATCCCATGATACTCCTTCATGTGGATATTTCACAGGTTAATCTAACCAGAGCCTCTGGTCTGCTTAAAGCACATCATGCAAACGCAGCATGAAGATATGCAGAGACACTAAGCACTCATTTCATCACTCCATTGGTCTTGCAGAACCTAAGGCAAAGCTTACCGACTATGCTGTGGAAGAAAGCCGCGCGCAGGTGCCAGTCGTTCTTGTCATTGAGGAACGTGATCATGTGGGACAGCAGCACATCATTGGCCTTCTGCCGCCCGAAGAAACACACAACCGAGTTATCCCAGTCTCCATCAACGTCTGCTTCACAATGTTTTCAGGGTCGCTTAGCAAAGTCACAACTTTCTGCTGGACCATTTCATGTAAGGCTTGGAGCTCTAAAAAACAAAAACAATAATCAATTTTTTCCCATATACACAAATCATCTTTCTTCTTTCTTTCCTCCCCACTTCTCGCTTTCTCAGAAAGGTTTCGCCATGTAGCCCAGACTGGCCTCAAACTCACAATCCTCCTGTCTTAGCCTCCCAAGTGCTATAGTTACAGATGGGGACCACCAGGCCCAGCCTAGTCTTCTTTCTTTGGAGTAACAAAGCAATGGCAGAAGCCACCACAGAAAGTCTATCATCTTTATGAATTTCCATTACTCAAAGCTCTGAAGCATGGGAAACTGAAGGCCATGCCATAAGCCACTCACTAATTAAACAGCTGTTTATGAGTGCAAGAAGAAAATTAAAAGGAAGCACCAGAAAGGAGGGCATTACTACCCCCAAAATATCAACATGAGCAAGAGCTTGAAAACACCAAATTGGTTCAGCATGCAATATGATGGTACTTTTAGAAAGCATTTTTTACAGATAGGTTGATTGTATTTAGAAAACTAGAAAATCTGTTGAGTCCTGTTAAGGCTTTGCAGATCTAATAATTCTTCTCTGACCTTATTTTCTAGTCATCTTCTCCTCACAGTTAGTTAGCTGCCCTTCCCTTACTGAAATGTTAGTTCAAGAGCAGAGACTGTTTTACTTACCACCATTTCCCTGGTGCTTAGAGTAGGTTCATATTACCTTCTGACTAAATGAAAGAAGGCAGAGGCCACTCCTGCTCCATCAAGCTACTATCAAGGGAAAAGGTGACTGGTCTGATAGGTAAAGTTTTGAGCTCACATCAAAGAAAAACCTTTTATATTAGCTCTCAGAAGTCTTAACACCTGAACTCACTACCAAAAACGGTCCAATTGCCAGTGTAGTTGTCTATGCATAAACATCTACAAACTAGAGTTTCCTAGTATTTTTCAACTAGAACCATCTTGAAGCAGATTAAGTATGTATTTTACTTCTAAGTCTTTCACTCTACTAAAACCATGTTTGAAAGTTGTATCAACATAAAGAAATCTAAAGATGGAGCCCCAAGTGAGTTTATCATTACATGTTTCTTTACAGTAAAAGGGGTGGGTTTTGATACGTAAATCAAAGATAGTATGAAATAAAGACAGTTTATAACTAAGGATACTCAAAATCTACTCACATGAGAAGAAAAGGTTTGGACTCTATAGCTGTGATTATCTTTTTTCTCTTTTCTGAGATTATATAACTCAACCAGTTTTACTGTTCACACAAATCAGTTCTGACTGAAAAACAACTGTTTGGAATCTCTGAACCAGCTGGTCATTTTCTACCTAGATAACAGTGTCTGAGGACTGAAAGATCAATCAGGGTCCTTTCTATCTAAATACCTGGTACTCCTTCACTTTGTAAGAAAACTAAAAAATGACAGTTTTTGCAACTTTAGCATTGGCAATTCATTCTAAACAGGAACTGAAGGAAAGAAAATATATACAACCTGTGTCATAATTCCCATTCGGATGTGTGGCTTCACCTATTTCTTCACTGTAGGATCATTTTCCATGTTGAGATTTTTTAGCTGTACTAATTCCAGGAATCTCAGAGCTGTTTCTGCTAGCAGAGCTATGTTTTCTATAAGATAAAAAGGGAGAAAAGTTATAATTATACTCTTAAATGTTCCTGATACTTATAACATTTCCTCCTTTTTTGGGGGGAGAGGACAGGGAAATAAGTCTTGTTATGTAGCCCAGGCTACTCTTAACTTGAGTGCCTCCTGAGTACTGGGATTATATAAGTATGCACAACCATGCCCAGTTCCTAAATCTTAACACACGTAAATAATAATCATAAAACTAAGGGGAAAAGTAGGAATTTTCAATTTAGCACTTAATCAGATTTTTAGTAACTAATTTCATAATCTACAACTATCTCCAAACTGCAGTTTTAACAAAACATAAGCTTTTTAAAAATATGAAAAAAATGATTCACTATTTACTTTCCTATATACTTTAAAAAAATATAAAAGCAACCATAGTATTCAAATTTAAAGAGAAAAAAAAACTTAAACCTTCTATAAAGATCTACCCTTTACAAAAGTATTTAAACTAACATAGACACATTCATATTAAAATAACATCAAGCAGGGCTTTGGAATCGGCCAGACATCACTTTCTAGCTTGCTGCTTAAACAACCTGAGTCTGTTTTTTAACATATAAACAAGGACACAGGGCTACCTCCAAGAGCCATTAGCAAACTGAATCAACAACCATTGTTAGGTTGCTTAACAAATGATATTCTAAAGTTCTCAGTGGACCACAGTGGGACTGCTGCCACACTTCTTCATTTGTCTATATTTTCTCTTGCTGTCACCACTATAAAATATTTACTTCTAACTCCTGCCATCATGTTTACTATTAATTATATCTGCTCTTCACTTTTTCCTGTCACTGTCCTTTCTTTTTTATTTGCTCCTGTGCCCTCCTTGCTTCCTGCTTCTGTGCTTCCATAACCAAAGACTACTCTCTTCCTTCTTAGACAAATAGCACTGCACCTAAAATTTAACTACCTTGAATTAAAACAAGACTACTTCTTTTTTTTGTTGATTTTTATAGTGATCAATCTTTTGTAGAGATTGAACCCATGGCCTCATGTACTTCTCTACTTGGCAACATCTATGAAATCAAAATCCACCTTAAAGTAGTTGAGACCTGTGAGTTTATCAAACACAGTGACCCTATTTATTCATCTTGGGGTCCCATCCCACATTCAACATTACTCTAAACAGAACATAAGCACGATGCTAATGCCCTATATTGCCTGCATGCCCTACAGAAGGGGTATTTTAGGGTTGGGGTGTAGCTCAGTGGTAGAGTGCTTGCTTAGCACACTCAAGGACCTGGGTTCAAGCACCAAACACCAAAAAAGAGCCAGGGAATTTCTAGTCCATATCCTGATAACCAGCCAAAATTCTAGATGAGTAGCCCTACTTAATATAGTATGGTTGCTCCTTGGTATTTGTGGGGGCGTTGGTTCTAGAACCCCTTTCAGATACCAAAATCTGAAAACACCCTTCTACAAAGCGGTGTTATGTACTTGTATATACTTGTAAACTATCTAAGACCATCCTCCCTCTTACTTTAAATCATCTCTGCGCTACTTGCAATGTTACAAAATGCCACACAAACAGTTGCTATATTATACTGCTCAGGGAATAATCACCAAAAAAATAAAAAAGCCTTACATATATATGCACTAAAGACAAACTTGTTTAATTTTTTGGTAATATTTAATCTATAGTTGGTTGAATCCATGAGTGTGGAACCAGTGCCCATGGAGGGTCTTTTTTTTTTTTTGGCAGTATTGGGAATTGAACTCAAGGCCTTGCACTTGCTAGGCAGGTGCTCTACCACTTGAATCACAAACCCAGCCTGATAACATTTCTTTATTCTGAAAAGTCTCTTACTTTACTGGGTATTTAAAAAATCTAAATAGATATATGTTTATATCTCCTTTAAGTCCATAAACACAAGACACTTGAAAGTTCACTTTACACAAGATACAAATCTATACCAGCATAGCGAGGGGGGTGGTGGGGAGAGGGAGGGGGCAGGGGGACAGGGGGGAGAAATGGCCCAAACAATGTATGTACATATGAGTAAATGAATTAAAAAAGAAAAAGAAAAAAACGTTGATTCTAAATACATATACTTACTGACATGTATGATGTAATCACACTTAGCCACACAAGTTTCAAATAGGCTTCTGACTCTTCTAGCAAAGGCACTAGGCTATGAAGGAACACCGGAAGGTGTTGGCCTGCACCTGGGTTATCGTGGACTATTATTATAAAAGCCCAGAAACCAAAGAAAAGCAGGATTTCCTCAAAGCCAAGTCTAGTCCAACAGCTCTAAGACCTTAGAACTAGATCAGACACAGTTGGCTCATGCTAGCTGACCTTTCTTAAGCTTTAAATAGAGGCAATATAAATTATTACTCAAGGCTGTTGCAAGGGTTATTTGCGAGATCTCACAACTACCCTTACAGCAACCTTGCGCAAGAGACACTGTAACACCAGCACGTTTTTCAATAACAGTAGCTACTGTTTGTATGCTGCAGTTATTAGTAGTTGGATGTCAATGTTAATATAGCACCTATACAGAACTTAACCTATTTTGACAGAACTGAAAACAAATAAGATATATACTACACCAAAAGGAGGGTCACAAGCTCTGCTAAGGAAAATACAGCTTGTTTTTAAAAACCTATAAACTTTTGTTACTTGATTTTATCTGATTCAAATTATTTATATTTGCCAAGTGAATTATAAATGTTTGTTATAAATAAAATCTCATGTGTCTTAAAGAAATCCTGGACTTTTACAACTACGGAAACCAGAAACCATAAATAAATATAAACTATATATATAGAAGAGAAAACACAAACCACCACCAATCCCTTTGTGGATGTGCCTAGAGATAAGATTAGGGTACAAAGACCACTTTTCACATACTGTATTCAAATAATGACAGGCAAATCATAAAAATAAACAAAGCAAGTTTTTTGCAAAAAAGGACAATATCATCACCTCACACATGCTATGTACTATTTCCTAAGATTTCAAAACAGACACTCTAACTTCCAGCAGATCACAGACATAAATTATGGAATTATGTAATGTTTCAGCATTATTTTTCATGCTGAAATAAGCATTCAGAATTTGAGGAGCCAAAAACATGCCTCTGGAACATTTCCTTTATGAGTGAGAATTACAAGCAGAGCAAGTAGGTGTGTTTAACACATCCATTTCATCACAAAGTCGCATAGCCTAGGCGCTAAAGTAACTGGAGCAAGGACCTTTAAAATCCAGAAAGTTAGTATATGAGGTTTTTTTCAACATCAAGTTACTCAACAAAGTGAATGTTTTCCAACAATAAAATGTTATATCCTACAACTATGAGTCAAACAAATGTGTTTATTCTGAGAGACTTCGGAAAGGCCTAACCACACTAATCAGAAACACATACTTGTAAACAGTTTTATTCCAAATTAAATGTAACACTCCAGCTGGGCGTCAGTGGCTCACACCTGTAATCCTAGCTACTCAGGAGGTACACATCAGGAGGGATCATGGTTCGAAGCCAGCCCAAATAGTTTGAGAGACCTATCTTGAAAAAACCCATCACAAAAAAGGCTGGTGGAGTGGCTCAAGTGAAGGCCCTGAGTTCAAACCCAGTTCTAGTTAAAAAAAAAAAAAAGTAACACTCCAAGAAAGCCGACAAGATTCTGTATTATATGCTTTTTCATGTGATAATTCTGAATACTTCAAATAAGAATGAATACACAAAAATTGAGTCCCAGGAATATATTAGCTATAAATATTACTGAAATGTATACAAACAGTTTCAAAGACCAAAGTTCACACTTGGAATTCTGAAAGAAATAAAAAAACAAGAGGTGGTATACGCATTAACTTTAAAAATTATGAGTGGCTATTACTTGAACAGCAAATCTTACCAGCATAGGCTAGTCTAACAATCGTAGCATCATCTTGGGCTAAGTGGGCAATGCCTGGCAAAATGTATTCTGGATAGATGTTGACGTCATTACGAGGAACCTCTTTGACAAGAGCAAGAACTTTGGTCAACGTCCTCAGGGCTTCAGCCCTCACTCTAGGAACAGAGTCATTGCTGAAATGCAAAAGATACGGAGTAATGCGATCCAAAAGGATCTCTACACTTAATCTTGGGGCCAAATGGAGAATGAGTTCCAAAGCAGCAAGTTTGGAATCACAGTATTTAAGGGTCTGTAGGCAGGATGTTATAACAGACACCAAGATCACCAGCCCATTTTCCTTAGGCTCTCCTTCTGCGTTTTCGGGCAGATCAGGTCCACAGAGGTTGTGTACAATGTTGCCCAAATCCTTCCGTATAACCAGAATACGCTCATCTGCAGAGAGAAAAGTTTCCTTGGCAAACTGGGCCATGTAAGGCTGAAGGAAAGTATAAAATATTTCAGGGAAGGCATTGCCACGCTGCTGCTTTAAGTAATCTTCAGCCTGTAAACGTTTATCAGGCTCACGATGAATCATCTGAGTAACCTATGCAAAACGGAGAAAGGGAATAAAAATAGATTAAGAACAGGAAACTAAACCAGGTGAAAGTTACACGGGACATTTACATGGGATTGTAAGTATTTCTGAGGTAATTTTATTCTCAATCTTCACCTTAAACTACTTTTACAAACCTAAAAGCTAAATAATATACAACCCCACCGTCATCCAAGAAAGCAACGGGAACGTACTACTGATAGCCCTGACACATAAGGAGGAGGCTATGCCCTGCCCCTTATTCCCTGTTATTAAGACAAAAAATGATCTTCTTCAGAGAAAAATGTCTACAATTTTTACATACAAAATTGCATACAATTCTACAAGGAATGACAGAATTCCTGATCCATCTACATATCTCCAGTTGAGAGTTCTGGTTGTGCCACAAATCCAAAGAATAATAGGACACTTGTCTAGCACACACGAGGTCTTGAGTCTGGTCCCAGCACGGTAAAGGTAGGGAGTCAGAAGTGGGGGTGACAAAAATTAGTGGTTTAAACTTCTCAAATAATGTAAAAGAAGGGCTGGGCAGCTCAGTGGTAGAGTATTGCCTAGCATGTGTTAGGCCCTGAGTTTGATTCCCATCACAAAGAGATTTCAAAAATTTTTAAATGATATAAAAGAAGGCTGAGAAAAGTGGCTCATGCCTGTAATCCCAGCTACCTGAGGTGCTTAGGTAGGAGGATCATGATCTTAGACTGGCCCTGACAAAAACATGAGATTATCTGAAAAAATAACTAAAAGCAAAAATGGCTGGAAGTACGACTCAAGTGGCACAAGGTTCTCAGATCAAACTCCAGTACTACAAATGTAAATAATAAATAAGTAAATAAAAGAGATATCAAATTATGAACACAGAAATTATTCACCTGATTAGTTTATCGTTTTCTAGTATGAAGATAAGTAATTAATATACAGACACAGTTTAATCTTTCCATTACTTAAATACATAAAATATCACAAAATTTATCAGCTATTTGGACTTTCTGTTTATATTCTAAATTAAGAACCCAGTATTGAACTTGAGGGAATCAAATGCACTACATGAAAAAAATTACCTAAAAGATTTAGTGTTATATTTGAATTAAGCCTTAAAAATTAAACAAATTCACTCCTTTCAAAGTTAACAAATTGTAGGTCAAAGACATGAAGTTACTAAGTCAAAGTAACATGACAAACAAATGCTACTCAAAAACATAAGAGCAGTGATGCCAACTCCTAATCCAGTGCACTACTCACTCAGCATGCACTAAATTGGCTTCTTCTAAAAACATCTTTTTTTTTTAAAATATTTGCCCTTTTTTTTGGAAACAAGTCTCATTCACTATGTAGAAACAAATGGCCTCAAAATCCTGATCCTCCTGCCTCAGCCTCCAAATGCTAAGAATATAGGCATGTGCACCACATCCACCTCTTTCTTCATGTCTTACTAGTAAGCTCTATCCAGGACAACCTCTCTATAACCAAGAAACACCTTCTTCCAAATCATCCAAAGTAGAGCAAAGATTACCATGGAAGATAGGCAGATGAAAGATTTTTTTTTAACTAAATAAGCGATGTGCCTGAGAGGGAAAAACAGCACTTTTCTCCCTAGGAAAGTACCAACAGGCTATTTGTATTGGTCTATAGTGCTTTACTGATTTATTCCAAATTTACAGCATTCCAGAACTTTTGCCTTAGTCATAAGGCAAAGTCAGAACAGTCTATTAACAACTTAATGGCAAACACTTTATAGCATAGTTACCAATTCTCTGATACTGTGATCTTCAATTTTATTTAGCACTTGTTCAGGGAAAAAATGTCCATTTCTATACGCCAGAAGTTGAGAGAGATCAAATAATGGTACACCTTCTGTAAAAAGTTCAGCTATCACCACCCTGGAAAACAGCAGATAAAATTCCATTAGAAATGAGATTCAAGAGATCATACAAATTTAGATCAGAATTTAGAAAATTCATAAAATTAAAAATGAAAACACCAAAGTAAAATGAATTAAAATTTGTAATGCAGCACATTAACTACAATCCAACTGATGTCTAACTGCTCCATCAGCTTCTAACGTGTAAAGTCAAGAGAACTATTTAATTTTTCTCCTTCCTAAAAGAACTTAAACAAAATTACTTCCCAATCTAAAATTTAAAATAGTAACATAATATATATAGTATATACATTCACATAAAGAGACAAAAAGCCATAAGAAACAGTTTTAGATTTATTTATAGACATTAAGTCCAAAAGAAACTGTTAAGTCATATCTTACCAATTATTTAAACAAAAAGTTATTGAGTGTCACTTATAAACTATGCATTACTAGTACATAAAAGAGATAAAAGTCCTGATTTCATGAGGTTTTCATTCTAGGAAGGGGGACAGAAAATAAACCAATAAACAAATACAAATGTGAAGTGCTAAGAAATGTGAAAGTAAAATTAAAAAGGAAAAGAAAATAACACAATCATTTTGCAATAACGTAATCTCCAAACCAGAAAGAAAATAAAAAAGTGTCTACATTCTTAAAAAGACAAAGCAATTTCATTGAATCACTATGTGCCATACATTTAGCAGGTCTTTGCACCTGCTGGTCCCTCTGCTAAGAATGCCATTCACCCAAGTGTCAGTGTGGGTTAAACCTCTCCCTCCTGCAGAGCTCCATTCAAGTGTCATCTTAGCAGTAAGGCATAAGACTGCAAGTCCCGCCACAACTACCCACACTCCTTACTTGGTATTTGGTATGTTCCTTTCCCCTTTCACCTACTGTTTTCCCACACGATACCAAATGCTAGAATATATATTTTGTTATTTGTTTATTATGTATACACTTACTATTATGTAAACTCCATGAGGAAGAGATTTTTCTCTACTTTGTTCATTGAAAAACTCTCAACAATTCATTACTGACACATGATATTCATTTGCTAATTTCCATCTACACTAGTATCAAATTTTAGAATAAAGAACTTCAAACAAAAGCTATTTTAAAACACCATAAGCAGCAAGGAAACAAAAGACCCGAATGACAATGTCAACCAACTAGATCTAACAAACATCAATAGAACACTCCACTCAAATGCAGAGTACAAAATCTTCTGAAGGGCCTATGGAACACTCTCCAGATTAAACCTGTACTAAGCCATAGAAGGAGACTCAAGGATATGTTTTGGATATGGTTTAAGTAACTACCAAGGCTTCAGGTGTTGAAATTGAAATTCCATTGTGAGGTATTATGAAGACAAAAAGTTAAATCTGACTATGATATGCAGAGTTCGGGGGTCTCTGGGATGTAGCCAGGATTAAAGTCAGTAGGGTAGAACCTCATGATTCAATAACTTCAGAAGAGAGACCAGACACTTATTGGAATCATGCCACATGAAGTCCATACTCTCTGGCCTTGTTATGCAAAGACCTATACCACAATTTGGACTCTTTCAGCAAGAAAAGCCAATACCAAGTCAGGTGCCAGTGACTCACACCTATAATCATAGCTACTCAGGAGGCAGAGATCAGGAAGATCGAGGTTCGAAGCAAGCCTGGGCAGATAGTTCCAAGAGACCCTATCTTGAAAAACCCATTGTAATAAAAGAAAAAAAAAGGGCTGGTGGAGAGACTCAAGGTGTAGGCCCTGAGTTCAAGCTCCAGTACCACAAAAATAAAAAAAAGAAAGCCAACACCAGGTGCGACTCCTTGAGCAAGAATCATAAACCAAACTAACCTCTTTTCTTTATAAGGTAGCCTACCTCAGGTATTTAATTAAGCATAATGAAAAATGACCTAAAACAGTAAATTTAAAAGGATTGAAAATGCCAGGCATGGTGGGAAACACCTGAATCCCAGCAGCCAGGAGGGTTGAGGGTTGAAAGCCAGCTATGTATGTGGAGAGTTCAAGGCCAGCCTGAGCTACATAGTGAGACCTGATCTCAAAAAGCCACACACACATAAAGACTTGAAACGAAGGAACAGTGCCCTTCAAATACAATGGAATGGTAAGAAATCATAACAGAAGAAACTTTGAAAAATTCACAAATATATAGAAATTAACACACTCCTAAATAATTAACAGATCAAAAGGAAATTAGAAAACACTGAGACAAATGAAAATGGAAATACACCATAGAAACTTACAGGATACAACTAAAGCAGTGTTTATAGTAAATGTATAGCTATAAATACCAATATTAAAAAAGAGCTTAGAAACAATAATTAACCTTAAGACACAAGAAAAAGAAAAGCAAACTTAAACACAAAAGAAAATCCTTAAAATATTGCCAAACCAGATCCAGTATCACACACCATAATCAGGTGGGATTTATTACAGGAATATGAGAAAATCCTACATATGAAAACCAATGAGAGGATTCCAAGATAGTGACTAGAGGGAGGAAGCAGAAAGCGTGCTTCCTAAAGTAAAATCTTGGAAAGATGCTGGACATACACCTTACAGGAAAAACCACCGAAAAGAAGCAAAACTCCGACACCTCCACACCCCAGCCGGAGCATAACATCCCCACTCCACATTAAAAGGAGAAACCAGGAGGGCTCCCACACCACCAGATGCCAGCTCCTACTGGCTCGAGAGAAGCAGACCACCAGGTGAGCTAAGCGGCACACAGAACTCCCACAGACAACCCTGGGCCGGATCAGCATAGACCCTGGACAGACTGACCCCCACCCAGGGAAAAAAGAGAGAAAAAACAAACCGAATAATAAACAAAAAAAGACACATAGCAAAGAGGGCAGGGCACCCTGAGCACTGAAGGGGAGGAGGGGCAAACCCTCACAGAACTGTAAATAAACAAACCGGCCAGAGAAGACAGGAATGACACCCCCGCCCAACAACCTCAGAACAGGAAAGCTTGTAACAGTGGGTGTGTGAGGAAAGTGCCACTGGAAAGTGGGGAAGGGGCACTTCCCATATGAACTGTAAACAAACAATCCAGCCAGAGAAGGCGGGTGTAGCGCCACCTCCCGGAGAGTGCTATGAGAGCAGAAAGCTTGTAACAGTGGCGGTTGCACACAGGAGAACTCTAAATAAACAAAGCCTGGGGGGCTAGGTGAGTCTTAAGCTCATTCTTGAGAACTGCAATCAATAAAGTCTCCAGCAACTGGTAGCTGACAGCAGCGGGCAGGTGAGCTGCAGCCTCAGATAGACATTCACAGAACTTTCTCCAGACCCTTTTTTTTCCTCTTCCTTTGATGAGACAAAGACTGAACTAGAACTGCATGCTGAAGGACTAACTAAAACTGTATTGCATTTGAAATTGGGACATTTTGTTTTGTTTTTTTTTTTTTTTTTTTTCCCCTTTGATGAGACAACAACAGAACTACTTCTGAGACACCATCTCCAGGATTGGAGGCTGAGGGACTAACACCAAAATTATTATTAAGACTGAAACTTTATTGCATTTGAACTTGGGATTTTTTTTTTAATCCTCTCTCTGTCTCTCTAATGCCTGTTGCTTATACACTATCTCTCCCTGTTTATTCTTTGCACTGGTTTTTTTTTTGTTTTTTTTTTGTTTTTTTGTTTTTTTTTTTGTTTTTCCCTTTTCTTTACTTCTTTGCTTTCCTCTCCTCTCACCTTCCATTCTAATATCACCATTGTTATTATTACAAGCTAGAAAATACTTAATTGCACACAGTACAGGACATAACAAGCAAGGGCAATGATGGGAAGACAGAAAAAAGAGGGAAACCAGTTTCCCCAGTAATAAATTAGTACAGGAACCAGAGGGAAATGAAGAAAACAGATACTCAGATCCAGACTCCAACAAAATGAAGATAAACTATGCCAAAGAACCCAATGAAGCCCACAAGAAATCTAAAAAGAAATACACAGGTAATCAATGAGAATTTTATAGAGATGATACTGGTATGGTCAACCAAAATGTACAGGAGACACTCAAGAAATTCCAGACAACAAAATAAGAATTTGAGAAAGCACAAGAACAAATAAAAGAAACTACAGAAGCACTGTATAAACACCAAAGTGAAACAAAGAACATGATAAATAAAGAGATAAATGAACTCAGGATGAAAAAAGACAACATTAAAGAGGAAGAGACTCAGGATATGGAAAACCTCAGAAAAAAACGAAACAGAATTGCAAAACAAAATGGAAGGCCAATCCAGCAGAATAGAACAAACAGAAGACAGAACCTCAGAACTTGAAGATGAAATGGTAATTAAAGGAAAAACCAAAGAACTATTAGTTAAACAACTCAAGACCTGTGAAAAGAAAATGTAAGAACTCACTGACTCCATCAAAACACCAAACCTGAGAATCATGGGCACTGAAGAAGGAGAAGAGGTGCAAGCAAAGGAAATGTGTAATATATTCAACAAAATAATAACAGAAAATTTCCCAAATGTAGAGAAATCTATGCCCATACAGGTGCAGGAGGCTGCCAGAACACCAAACAGACCTGACCAAAACAGAACTACCCCACGACATATTATCATTGAAAAAAATAAGTACAGAACTGAAAGAATATTGAAGCTGTAAGAGAGAAAAAAAAATAACATACAAAGGTAAACCCATCAAAATCACAGCAGACTTCTCAACAGAAACATTAAAAGCAAGAAGAGCTTGGGGTGAGGTCTTCCAGGCAATGAATGAAAATAACTTCAACCCTATGATACTCTACCCAGCAAAACTATCATTCAAAATAGATGGAGCAATAAAAGTCTTCCATGATAAGCAGAAACTAAAACAATATATGACCACAAAGCCACCACTACAAAAGATTCTTCAAGGGATTCTGCACACAGAAAGTGAAATCCAACATAACCATGAAAGGGCAGGCAGTACCAAACTACAGGAAAAGAAAAAGCAAGAAAGTAGAGAGTAACCTCGATTTAGGTACACACAA